GTAGGATGTTACATTCTTGCCATCAGACTAAGTTGCCAGTGTAGATTGCACCAAAAGAAAGAGTGACCATATGGATCGTTTCTAGTGTTTCCTCAAGGGTGAGATTACTGAGAAGGACTAGTGGTTAAGGGTCCAGGCTAGAAACCAGTACATTGTGACTTCTAATCGTGCCTTAGGAATGAAAGCTGGCTATGTGACTTTGGATCTTCACTCAGCCCAACCCACCTCATAGGGTTGTTCTTATGAGAGAAATAGGAGGAGGAAGAACATACTATATTTTCACTGCCTTGAGTTAGTTATAGAGTAATAAAGATGAGATAAAAATCTAATAAATACAATAATGTTGGTTAAATCAGAACCTTAAGTTGTCTCTTCCCCCCCCCCCCCCCCCCCTCAAAAGGTGTAGCCAAGTATGTACAGGGTTGCACATGCATCAGACATGTTGGCTACGGGCATATCCTGCTGGCTCTTGATACAAAAGTTCCAAGAAGCCTGGCCTTCCTCTTGTTCAAAATATCTGAAATGTGTTTACAAATGTATTTTCACAACCATGAAAACTTGATCGTTATTTTCATAACAGAGAACAGGAGCTTTCGGGTACACTAATATTTTTTCTCTAGTACTAAATTCTGTGAGTATGCTTCTGGTGCATCAGACCATTGCTAGGCTAATGTCAGTAGCATATTCTGTAAGTAAAATCAATGGCAGATGAACAAAAACCAAGTTGAAAGTCCTTTCTTCAAGCAACGGATCTGCAATGACCTAGAAACAAGTAAAGATATTACTAAAATCCAACGTCGGTTTGTCAAACAGATCACGCCGGATAAATCTAATTGCATTTTTGATGGATCAGGGAAGTACTGTGGTCGTAGTTTACTTAGAATTCAGCTAGGCCTTTGAAAAAGCGCACCACAGGATATTTCTTGGTAAAGTAGAAAAGCCTGGAATAGGTAGCATCATCACCAGATGGGTTTGTAACTGGCTGGCCAACTGTACTCACCATGTAGTCCTCGATGGAATTAGATCAACATGGAGGGAAGCATGTAGTGAGGTATCCCAAGGTTCTGTCTTAGGCCCAGGACCCTTCAACATCTGATTTAGATTTAAAGGATTGAAGGGTAACTCATCAAGTTTGGGGGGAATAGCCAACATTTTAGAAGATAGATTCAAGATACTGAAGAATCTTGACAGACTTGAATTTTGTTCAGGTTAGTTCAAACTAACTTTGCTGGTCCTACCCAACAAAATACAATTCCATTATGAGAAAAAGTCTTATGCTTAAGCAAAAAAAACCCAAATTCATGGGTATAAAATAGGTGGTGTCTGGTTCAACAGCAGTAATGGTGAGAAGGCTCTAGGGTCTTAGTGGAGAATCTCTTAAGTATGAGCCAGCAATGTGCAAGATAAGCAACTGCCAGATAAGCCAATTCATCAACAGAGAGATAGTATCAAGATCAAGTGATGTGACAACTCTGCTTTATACTTGGATACTACACACTTGGATACTGCATCCAGTTCTGGTCATCATGGTACCAAAAAAATATTGAGGCTCTAGAACAGGTGTCAAACTCGATTTCATTGAGGGCCACATCAGGGTTGTTGTTTGACCTCGGGGGGTGGGGGTGGCTAACTCGACATCACTTGTATTGGGCGCCTGTGGTGGCCCAAGCGCTCTGCCAGCAGAAACAGGCTCACAGCCCTCCCAAGCTGCATTCTCTCTGTGAGAGGCACTGTGAGCCAGTCCTTTGCTGTTTCCAGGCCATCCCCACGGACCAAATCTAAGCATTGAGTTTGACACCCTTGCTCTAGAAAGAGTGCAGAGAAGAGCAGTTAGAGGCTAAGCTGTATGTGGAACAGTTGTGAGAACTAGGCATATCTCGAGTTAGCAAAGAGAAGGACTAAGGGTGACATGATAGCTGTCTTCCAGTACCCGTTCAATCGTTATTTCATATTCTATGGAAGTCACTGGCAGATGAGCAAAAGTGGAAAGCCCTTTTTTTATTCATTTTCTGCATGGCATTTCTTCAGGATGAGAGGCGCTATTGTCTCGGTGACTGGCCAGGGGAAGAGGCTCTATAAAATACAAGAGAACTGAAGCATTCCACAAACTCCCTAATAAACAGTGGTAGGGTGACGAACAGGAAATTCTATCGGACACCAGTTTCATTTTGTTCACATGTTATTGAACTGCTTGCTAAATGGAATGGTGGTGACATTTGGGATGAGATCAAATGATGAGCTGGAACAGGGGTGCCAAACTGGCGGCCCGTGGGCCAGATGCATCACACCCACTCCAGCTCCGGGAAGGGAAAAGCCATCCTGATATGCCACGTGACAGCAACGTGATGCGACAAGTTTGACACCTGTGAGCTAGAAATCGGCTGGAAAGACAAAATTGCATGAATGAATGAATACATTGCTTGTTGTATTGTCTACTGTTTTTATTTCTCTGTTGTATTACTGTACCTGGAAAAACAGTAATGTTCAAGGGTGTTAGCCAATGAGGCTCCCCACCTGAAACCACAGGGTAAACACCTTCTCTTATTTCCTTTCTCAATGACAGATTCCTTCATGTTTTCTCCTTTCCACAGGCTCAGTGAGCTGAATGTGACCCTCTCCATCTCCGAGAACCTTTTGTTTTGGAGAAAGGTGGCGGCGGCTGCTGCTGCCACTGCAGGAAGTGGCAGGGTGGGAAGGGAACTGGCCTGTTGCTCCGATTGCTGGGTTTCTTCTGGGAATCTTGGCCATGCCGCCTTCATATCTCTCTTAAAATAAATCCAGATCTCCAAACCTAATGTTGAGCCAGCAGCTGTAGAAGATAGCCGACTAAAACCGCCTCCATCAGACCCCATCCTGCCTGACACACACCTCAGTTTTCAGGGTAACACTTCCTTTTTCTTTTCTGTTTTGTTTTAAAAATAAACTTTACAAGGAAAATCACTCTGCTTTTTAGTTAAGAGTTGGAACATTCCTCGGACAAAGGTGTTGGTGTTTCAGACAACCCCATCCCTGCCCTTCCATTTTCTTCACTGCTGGGACTGATCGTGTTTTTGTCTGTTCAAGAGGAAATTGGAACAAACAATTATATGCTCAAATTTTTACTTTTTACCGCTCGTTTTTAACTTCACAAATAAATGATAACAAAACATCCCCCTGTGTCTGCTGGGTGGTGTCTGTCTTTCTCTGTCTATAGGGTTTTTTGAAGCTGATGTTTGTTCACAATATAGCTGTTGTAAAAGCCTGGTAATGGTCATGAATAAGAGCTTCCTGTGTTTTTATAGTTTGAGCAGGCATTTGTGCATTTTTGTTGAATAAAATGCTTTTTTGTTTTAAAGTCTCTGATGCAAATGTGTATGTTTCCAAAAACAGGTCTCAGAAGGTTTGAAGGTTGCCCAGGGCAGTGGGAACAGATACTTGATGTGAGCCAGAGGCAGGCTATTTTTCAGGTTCCATAGACTGAGTTGTCGCTTGGCTTGTGTTGATCTTGAAATTCCATGTATGTAAAGTTTTAAAACCGCATCATTCTTCAGCATCAGCATATGGGAGGGGTACATTATAAAAGAGTGGATTTTCCAGATTCTTGCATCAATGGTTGGAACTCCCTAGTAGATTATTCATCATTAAATCCATTTGGATAATTGGTCTAAAATGCTTTTCAGGATCGGAGAAGGTACTTGGAAATATACATGAGGGCGCTCATTCCACTCGAGAATAGTTTTCTTCAGCATTTGATCTCCTTCCCTGCCTCCCATCTCCACCCCATCATGATGGGCTGGGATAAGTTACTTTGTTTAAGTTGGTATTACAGAGGGATTTTAAAAACAGACCAAGGACTGTATACAACTGAAGACTGAGGCCTGCAAGACGCCTTTTATTTTGAGTTGAAAGGGAAAGAAGTGTCACTTAATGCAAGGCATTCACGTATTGGCTGACATAGGCAATATAGGTAGTCCCCGGCTTATGACCACAATTGGGTCCAGAAGTTCAGTCACTAAGAGATGCAGTCATTAAGTGAGACATGTGATCAGACTTCATTTTACTGCTGCTTTATTTTTGCTGCTGTCTTTAAGCAAATCCAACTTCCCCGGTTGAGGTTGTTTGCTGGAAACCTATCAGAAACTGGCTGGGAAGGTCACAAATTGCAATCACACCACCGCAGGATGTTGCAACAGGTAAATGTAAGCCAGCTGCTAAGTGCCTGATTAGCAAACAGGTAACTTGGGGTGACATGGCAGTCGTAACTTTGAGGACATGTCATAAATCACTTTTGAGACTGTCATAACTTTGAACCATCTTAACAGTTATTAATCAAGGACTACCTGTAGTCACAACTTCACGGAAATGATGGGTAAATATGCAATAGTTTTTCAAATGTTGCTGCACCTGCTGCTGATACTCGTTTGTGACTACAGACCTGTGAAAAGTATATATTACAGTTCAAAAGTGTTGTGCTGGAAAAGTGGCCAATTATATCTCTTCATGTTGTTGATATGCATCATCACCAGCTGAAAATCCTTATGGCTACTTAGTAATCGCCAGAATGTCTTAGCCTGGAATTTTGCTACCACAGACATGACTTGAAGATATGACACTTTTTGAAAATACAAACTCTTAATTCTAGAGATAAATTAAATAATGGGAATGTATCCTTGACTCAGGAATTCCAGAAAGAGCATCCCAGTTAAGGAATGAACTAAGATTGTAGACCACAGCTTGCATATATGTTGCTACAGTAATTCCCCCTTTATGATTTTTCAGTTTGAAAAAGATCTTTCACTCTTGCATTTTGGCCAGCAGTAAATTTTGCTCACAGACAACCATTTGCAATCACGGCTTTTCTTGGGGATTGCAGGATGTAGTTTTTAATCTAGATTTCATGGACAGGATCACTCATTACGCTTCAGATTATTAGGTGAGGTTGATGCAGTTGTGAACCAAGATGGATTGTTTTAAAAAAAGAGAGTTCTGAGGAAGGCATGCTAATAGACCAGAGCTTTTTATTTTTTTTATTTTTCTGTAGAACTAAATAGCTATACCAGAGAGGTAGCTGCTTTTATCACATCATCAATAACACTGCAGCACTTGGCAAAGACTACTTCTGGGGGTTCCTCCCCAAGGATCTGCAAATAGAAAAACAGTGATGGGATTCTTAGATACCTCTTCTAGAACGCTCCAGCCTCTTTAAGCTCTTTGAATAACACCTGGGTTTAGGAACAGGGTTGCCTTAGCTCATAGAGTTATGGGGATGTCTAAACAAGCCTAAATACAATAAAATGTTCTTAAATAAAATACTGCTTAATTCAGATGCTGCTGGGAAGTATGGAAATAAGTCTTCACAATTATGAGATAACTGACAGATATGTTCCTCTGAACACTGAGATTTTCCTGAGATGTTATAGCCAAACTTAAAAAAAAAAACTAAATGAGTGGTCTTTTTTCATCTTATGACAGTTAATTGACTATGCAAAATGTGATTTCAGTGAAGAAATGTGTTATGCACTTTATTTATTGTGAAACTATTTTCTGTCAATTCTGTTGGGTGACTTTGAGAGGAATAAGAATATAATATGAAAATTGTAAAAGCTAGTCAGCCTGCAATATCAATTCTTCTATATTTCATTTTATGCTAAAATAGCCTTTTAGGGTGTGCTGTGATAACTTTTGTTTAAGAAATAATGAAATTAACTGATATTGGGACATGTTTATGTGAAATGCTATGCTCTCAAGACAGAGTAACGTTATGAAACTGGATAGATTATTTTAGCTATTCTAAGGGAAAAAAATAAATACTCTTTTCATACTTTTAAGAATTCTATATAGCGCTTTTCCTTTATTGGATCAAAAGCAACATGAATAGGTGGAGCCAAAATACAAGTTAAAATATCTGCAATACTACCACAAATTTCTTAATGTTCTGTATACACAGAGTATTAGGAAGAGTAAATTAGGCATTGCTTCTAATACAATACCCCTAATGCAGAAAATTTAAGTTTCCCCTAAGTAATGTTCTAATTTCTGATGTGTATGTATGTGTGTGGGAGGGAATGTTTTGTGAGCTTTACCCAAACCAAATACAAATGTGTGTACCTTAATGTGAGTATAAGTGTAACTGGGATATCTTATGTGATAGCAACACGTTAAAACAATTTCTTAGTATACTTTCTGCTTTTTTTATTTCAACTATGTCACAGTCCTCCCCCCACACCTTATGACTAGCACAAATCATTTGTATCACCTGCTTCATAGGTGAAGCTTAATGGAGAGAGCGAGCACCTTTGTTGAAAAGTGTTGCTTTAGTCCAAAACAGAATCAAACTGAGCATAGTTCCCCCATCCCCATCAGCTAGGCCCTCTTTGCCCAGGATCGGGGGAAAGGGCAACGGATAGAGACCTACATTCCGGAGTATGCTTCTCTGCAGGTAGTAGGTGAGGACAGGATCACACAACGTATAGTGAGTCTCAAGCTGCTGCCGGATAGTTTTCTCATTGTTATTCACTCTTTGGCCCAGCTGGCTTCTGATCATCAGCCTCTGGATCATAGTCTCTGTAGAACAGTCAAACACTATAACAATGTTGGGCAAACGTCCCACCTGCAATGGGAATGGCATAAGATGGTCAGTTCAATGCTTGGCCTGAAACTCTTTGCTTGATAGGAATGGAGAAGATTATGGTCAGAAGTCAATGCTTAAACTATCAGAGCATACTTACTATATTTCAGGAGGAAGTTGCTATGTGTGGCAAAAGGATATTGAAAAGCAAGCCAGTTTGCCTGATTTGAGGAAAAGCTACTCAAAACTTTTGGCCAAGGGTCTTCAAACTTGGCAAGTTTAAGACTTGTGGACTTCAACTCCCAGAATTCTTGATCTAACAGGACTGGAGGAGGAATTCTGGGAGTTGAAGTCCACAACTCTTAAAGCTGCTCTTGGCAAAAGGCTGCTGGTAATGAGAAATCTAAAATAATGGGAATGTCGTGTTTGAAAATGCAGATCTGGGCAGTATGAAGAAAACCAACCTCAAATTAGGGATAAACTTTACCTCATACTTGGCTTAACCTGTTATTCATTAACTGAAGAATTACATTAAATAGGCAGGTGTTTGTACATAAACCAAAATATTACTACAGGTAAAGTTTTCAGAAGATTTGTTTAAAAATCAATTTCTAACCTAGAAACGGCAGTACGAAAATAAGATAGTAAGAGAGAGGAATGCAAGAATTAATTGAATGGAACAGAACTACAATTCTTACTCTAACACATCAGCAGGATCAGCATATCTTAACATCCTTGGTTTACCCTTAGCTTTTCATTAATATCTAACAGATTTATTTTGGTCTAAACTACCATTTCAAGTTCTTTCCTACAGGTTAAAACAACAGTCCAATATTGAGCCAACCAATATATTGCCAGTATTTTTTTCCATATTCTCATTCAGTGACTCCTGTTCCAATTGACAACATCCTATGGAGATTATAGGCAAGGTAATGGCAGTTTTTCAATCTACAAACATGACACAACAGCTAGGAATGATGCAAACTTAAATCTGAACACTGGAAAGGCTACACAGGTTACCTGCATCTATTGTAAACTAAGCCATTCTCTCTCTCTCTCCCTCCCTCTCCCCTCCCCACACACACACAACTTACAACTTCCTCAAACAGCCTGGCTTGATTGATTTCTCGGGGAAAGCCTTCAATAAAGAATCCTTTGACATTTTCAGCTTTTAACATCTTGTCTGTCAGCAGTTCCAAGACGTAGCCCTAGAGAGAAAAGTGCAATGAATCTCTTAAGACCTCTAATTTTGCAAGTCATGCTGCTCTGTCTTCCTTTCAAGATAGGGATGGCTGTTTAACCATTTTGATATCCCAAATTTTATGGCAGCAAGTCAGGAAGAGTTCAGCCCCTTTATTCAAAATGGTAAGCACAGTTCAGCTTTCTTTAACTTTGAGACTCAGCAATAAGGGAGGATTAAAAAGAAAAGCTGAGAAATTTCTGTCATTGCCTCTAAAGGCTATTATTGCCTAAAAATGCAATGTTTGTATCAATTTCCTCCTAGCATAGTCCTAGAAAATCAGAATCAGAAAGTGGCTATAAAGAATTGCAGACCCTTATCATCTTAACGGAGTGCCTACATGCATGACACCCCAATATTACTTTCAGCAATACTCCCATTGTAAGCAGCCAAATCTTTCCAGGAAACCCACAAGCTGAGTATGCAAACTATTTCCAGTATTGTTCCACAATGGCTTTATACTCCTCGTTTCTTTATACTCAGTATTTCTGATTCTACATTTCTGATTTTGATTTCATTTGCCTATTGTCTTTCTGAATAGCTGCATGGGATGGAACTGTCTATCTCTTAAAACCTGTGTTGATTTTTGCCTGAAGTTCAATGAGATCTCAAATACGTTATCATGATTGTATCATGGGTTGCATCTTGTAGTTTGGTGATTATTATAGCAAGAATGAGCGGTGCTGGGCTCACGTCTCCTTTTTTGTAGTATTCCTCCAGAGTTTGACCTCTTAAATCTGATAGAAAGCTACCCAATCACAGAGCACAATTCCTTGCTATTCTGCAAGACAAACCGCACATAGGTCACCAGTTTGGCTTTCCACAGCTAAAAAGAAGCCTTTAAAAACCCTCTGTTATAACCCATTTGCCACTGTGTGACACCATTGTCCCAGTCACGGTCTTTAGTTAAGGTTGGAATTCTAGTTGCTTCCATTTAATAATAAAACTTCTGAGGGAGATCCACCTGCTATCTTAACTAAGAAAAGATAGGTGGCTGCGAAGAAATTTATTATTGACAAATATTGCTGGACTGATCTCAAAAAAAACAAAACCAAAAGAAAATTATAATCAGCCATCCTTTACTAACCCAAATTCTGCCAAAGAATATGCTGAATTTCAAAGGTTTTATTTAACTCAAAATCTGACATTTCAAGCATTATGGTAAATGATTCTAAATAATCTCAGTTAACATCCAAATAGAAGTAAATAATGGCAATAATAGAACTGAATGAAGAAGCTTCTTGGATGAGAAATAACTTCAAGGAAAAACAAAAGTCCAGTTGCCTTTTGAAAAAAGCACCTTTTGGACAATCATGACCTGGTTGACTGAGAATCTCCAGACTCTCAATGGCAATAAGCATGTTAACCGACAGTGAAATTAGTACACATGGATATGGGTAGGTTCACTGAAGACATCAAAACACACCTCCGTCTTCGGGATGAGAATGAAAGATGAACTGAATATTAGCTCAGATATATTGCGTATGTAATTATAATCATGCTGTGAATTATTCCAGAAACCATTTTCTTCCTCTGAAAATACTGAGCTTTAAAATGCAACCTATAGAGTGGACTGAATCCACACTTTATCAGTCTCATTAAAATAAATAGTCCTTAATTTAATAATAGCAATAGCACTTAGACTTATATAAAGCTTCATAGTGCTTTACAGCCCTTTCTAAGTGCTTTACAGAGTCAGCATATTGCCCCCAACAATCTGAGTCCTCATTTTACCCACCTCAGAAGGATGGAAGGCTGAGTCAACCTTGAGCCTGGTGAGATTCGATCTGCCAAATTGCAATGGAAGTAGCCTGCAGTACTTACTGCATTCTAACCACTGCACCACCGAGGCTCCATAATATGATAATTTGTACTCATTTCAGTAGGAAGCAAGCAGAGTTTACATCTAGTCCAGGTTTTTAAAATGTTCTTAATAAAAATGGATTCTATTCAGAATAGATATGCTGTATATAGGGTCTTACCGAGGGCACCAAAGCCCCTTTCATCAGGATGTCCCTAATGGCTTTGCTTTTGCTAGTATTTCTGCTGGCTTCTTCCCACAGCAGCTCTCCAATAGCCACATGGGAGAAGTCGTATTTGCTAGCTAGCCGGATACTCTGCACGTCTTTACCAGAGCCAGGACCTCCTATCATAAAGATGATGATAGAGTCTTTCAACTTTTCTGCAGCAAAAGAAAAAACAGTCATGTGGAAGGATGTGTTCCTCTGGCAGTTTCTTTGCACTTTGCAAAGTGGGACCCCTAGCAGCTTACCAAGGACAGAGGGTCTTATAGATTTTCAATACAATTAAATGTAGCATACAGCTAGCCAGAGTGAGCAATCCAGTGGAATGTGGGTTTTTTGCATATGAAGCTACCTTAAAGTGAGGTAATTCATCAGTCACTCTCATCCAGTAATTTATATTCCCATAACAGCAATTCTTCAAGGTTTGGGGTGTAGCTGCTGATACTGGGAGTGCAAGCCATGTGGACCACAAATAGTCCTGGGGAAGATGTATCAGTTTTCCTTTACCTGAATGCTAAGTGAAATATTACTAACCACTGACAAGTATGTTCAGTCTACCGGTCTCATATCAGGACTTAAATTTCAACTCTGAATCTCAAGGGTGGGAACATCTGGTCTAATTTTAGGACTCTGTTGCTTTTCTCCCTCTGTCCTGAATTTCAGAAAACTTCTGATACAACGAAGAATTCTGAAGAGTCTAAATATATATGCACACACTGGTGTCATTTTGCTTAGTTACAGGTTGACCATAAAGTTATTTAAAAGCTCCAAGGAAAGAGAGAATTGGTTGCTGTTAGTTTGCAGGCTTTGTTTTCTTCTTTGTTCACCCGTCATTAAGCAGATGGAACAGAACTGTTCCAAAACAGCCTTTATAATAATGGCTGGGAATGATCTGAGTCCTTCTCTAACACATCTGGATTTGGGTTTCTCCAGTCAAAGAAATTCAGATCCAGCCGTCTCCCTAAATATACTGGGTCACACTCCACCATGCCATTTATTTTGAATCAGAAGCGACACACAGGAAGTTACTTCCGCATGTAAATCTGAAGTTTGCTAAAGAACCAATGCTGGAGAGGCAGCAGCATCAAGTGGCATACAGAAGAGCCAAATGGGACACAGACCAGCTTCACCCATGTACTGCATGATTCCCCGAGATTTATCAAGCCCTACTGAATGAATTAGAACTTGCATAATTATTCTGCTGAAGCTTACAGAAATTCCCTGTGTATTGGGTGTTGGGAAAGGTTTCAATCTAATGGCCCTCCCTACTCAAAGCCAGGAAAGTGAATCAAAGGAAGCCTGATGACTAGAAGCTTGCCGATATACTATTCTAAATATTACAACATATGCAGAAAGGAAGAAACTGGGTACCTTTTAGTTCATGCTTCAAGGGTTTAGTGGATTTTGGAAGACTGCCCTGGCAAATCCCCATTCTGAAGACTCATCCCAGGGTCACAAGGCACCAGTCCAGCTGACTGCAAGTTGATGTACAAAACTATTTTGACCATTTCAGCTTAGCTGAAAAGTGACTCCCCTGGGATCTCTTTCTGATGTCACAGACATCTGATGTCATGACTAACCAAACTTGGAGCAAGCAAAGCCGGAAGGATGGTAAACTGTTGCAACTAAGCTGTGCCCACAAAGTAGTACCTTTCTTCTTGGCCCAACTCTCAAGAAACAGGATATCAAGTAGACAGTCCTTCAATTTCTATTTGCAGGTTTTTGTTACTTTGTGACTTTTTCTCTTCTGCTGTCTCCAGGTAGTGCCTCACCCACTAGCCACTTTTTTTTCTTGAGCAGTTAAGTCTGAGATGTTATATGTATACATGTCTGTTTGAAGTCACAGAGCATGTTAGCTTCATTTTTTTTATTACTTTGTCTATTTTCTGCTTCCACCAGTTCTTATACATGAACTGTTTTGTATATGTCTGTAGCTGATTTAGGAGATATACCTACAAACCTGCATTGTGTAGTAATTAAAATGTAAGTCCTGAGTTCAATTATCTACTGGCACCGAATGGGGGATGAGACTCAGCTGATCTAAAAACGTCTGTTTACCCCCATGCTCCTTTGAAAGGGAGCTATTCTTGACCTATATATCATGAATTCCTATTGCAAAGCATGAAATTACAATGCCATATTTTAAATACAGTAAAGTTATTCTCTTCTTTCCCATCTCCCCACCCTGCTTGCCAAACGAGGCTACTGCACGCTAGCTTAAAGAGCTCATAAGACCCACCCCACGACTTCCGCTGAGGAACAAGCGTTTCCACTCATACTCTGACAATAGATGGAAACCAAAGAGATTTTCCTTTCAAATTGGAAAGGCAACTTCAGGTTCAGGCTGCAAACCTCCACAGAACAAGAGCAGAGTGGAAGCATGAACAAATCAAAAGACACATTTACATGGGATGGGCAAAACTGCAGCTTCTCTGTTTTCTAATGCTTACACAGCTGTGTTGCTGATCTACAAACTGTTGTATAAAATCTTGATTAGGCGTACATATTACAAGAAAAGACCACGTTAACCACTGTGTTAGAAGCAAGGGTTGAATTTCACCCCCAGTGATGTTTATCTATTTGCTTAAGAGACCCTTCCTCTTACTGCTGGACTAAAAAAGGAGACCATGAGTTATGCCTTTGGGCATAAAGCTAAGCTGGGCAACTTCCCAGCTTTAGGAAGAAGGCAAGGGCAAACCATTGCAAACTGTGAAGATTGTCCCAGGAAATTGTCCCAGGAAATTGAAGATTGTCCCAGGAATCAACACTGAGTTGAAGCCCCTTAAACCCAGGTTGCACTCCCGGGAAGGTTGTTTAATATCAATCTGACATGAAAGTTTCCTTAGAAAGCTCACCTGGCATTTATTTGACCCCAACCCTTATGTTTACATTCTCCCATCAAACATCTTGGTAATCATAGTGATTTGGGTTAAAGACTGCCAAGGCACCTTTTGGGCATTACCTCTGACCGTTGCCCAGAAAGTACCGTATAGGGATTCCCAATCAAAGCCCCTTCCAGAGAGAAGGCTCTGCCATTTCTCACTTTTTTCTTTAGTCGGATCAGATCTGACCTGACCTTTCCTGAGCAGCCAGTTTTTAGGAGGCGCTTTACAAACCCAAACTCTCCCAACTGGGCCAGAGCCATTTTCTCCACTGTTCTGGTCAAGTATCCAGAAAGCTGGATATGACTGGAGCATCCAGGAAATCCAAGGGGATACATTTTCCGCCTTTCTGGCTCAAACACAGAACAACGCAGTCTAATCTAGGACTAATCCTAACCCTAAACCAGGCTGGGCAAGCGCAGCCGACTCCAGCGTCCGGTCCAGTCACTACATGCAACAGGCTTAGGCTTCAACCTGGGGAAACCAGTCCAGCCCCCTTATGTTTCCGCAAGTGGTGGTGGTGGGTCTTGGCCTTTCTCACCGCCCTTAAAGGGATCGACGCGCGCACCTGGCACGTTTCTTTTGCAAAGGATGAGAGAGACCCGTTTTCTAGTCCTTGCGTTCACTCTGCCCGCTATAAGGCCTGTTTGCTCCCTGGCGTGTCAGGGCTCGGTAGATAGACCCCTAACCCTTAACCAGCTACGTTGACAGTCGCTTTAATACTGGGTCTCCGTAGACCAATATCAAAACGAAAACAACGCTCAGCCGGCCTTCTCACGGGGATTCTCGTCCCGGAACCGCGTTGCGATGCCGGAAGTTTATTAGCAACCACAACGTCTACTTCCTTCTTAGCGGCCGCCAGGGTTTGCGCATGCGAGTTTGAGGATCTGGCTGTCACTGTTTAGGTGGGTAAGAACGAGGGATCGGTGGAGAAGGGAAGGGAAGCTCGGGGACAGGGGGTGGAGAACCCGACCGATCCCGTCTTCGGCAGCCATCGCCTTGCCGATCGATCAAGACATTCTGAATCTTGGATATCTTTTCCCCTCCGGGATGGACCCCAACATCCTTCCAGTGCCCGCTTTCTGTCCCTAGCCGCTCCGGAATCGAGCCGGCTTAGCTGGGGCTTTAGGCGTCCGGGCTAGGAGATCTCCTTTCTCTAGTTGCCGGTTAGGTTTTGGTATCCTGGTTCCCAGCTCCTCTCTGGGGCAAGCATTTTAGCCAGAAAGGAGAGGAAGGGGTGTCCCCGAGCTGGGTTTGGTTCGTATAACTTATTTTATGTTATTTGCGTCTTACGAAAATGCTCCTTAAAAAGAAAATAGAAATGTTACCTTTCAGTGCAAAGAAGCTTCCTGCACACGATCACCGGCCGTCTGCGATATGTAATCTTAGAGTGGGGGTGGGGGAATAAAAAAATAAAAACCAGAAGCTCTGTGCCGCTTTGCTCCCTTTTCAGAGCTTTTTTCTGCGGGAACGCATTCAGCCTCTATTTAAAGGGGCTCTCCGAGGCAATCCCAGCTAAAGCGCCCCTTTGCTTTTCTTTGCTCACTTGCCATTTTAGACTTTCTCTGATGTGTTTTCCCAGGCTTTTATAAAACCTGACTCTGCCTCTTTCTTCTGTAGAATCTGCGGTTGAAAAAGAGACGTAGTTGCATATCAGTTCAAACATCAGCAGAAATGACTTCTTTGGTGAGTTTATATTTTCAAGAGTCAGATATGGCTAAGCAACATTTGAGGCTAGGGTTATCTTGATTCCTTCTTATGTTACTTTTGAGGGGAGGGGGTTGGAATCCTCAATACTGTGAGGTCACAGAGGCCATTCATAATTAGAATGCCACTGTCCAAAATTCCACTCAGAACTTCATCTGGTTTAGCCTTCCCAACCAGATGTTTTACTGCAGTGCTCATGATCCTCAGCCCTTGGCCATTTTATTGAAAAAGTATGGGGATCATTGCTCAAACCATCTGGAGGGTATTGGAACAACTGAACTGAAGCTCACCTATCTGATGTGCCCTGGCAGCAGAGATGGTATTCAGAAGGTTCTGACCAGTTCTGGAGAACCGGTAGCAAAAATTTTGAGTAGTTTGGAGAATCAGCAGATATCACCTCACCTTTCACAATATCCTTCCCCTGCCATGCCCACTGAGCCATGCCCACAGAACCGATAGTAAAAAAAAAAAAATGAATCCCAGCACTTCCTGGCAGGTAACAAAGTAAGAAGTAGCACTTATATACTGCTTTATAGTGCTTTATAGCCCTCTCTAAGCGGTTTTACAGAGTCAGCCTATTGCCCCCAACAATCTGGGTCCTCATTTTACCCACCTCAGAAGGATGGAAGGCTGAGTCAATCTTGAGCCTGGTGGGATTTGAACTGCCAAATTGTAGGCAGCTGGCTGCAGAAATAGCTTGCGGTACTGCACTCTAACCACTGCACCACAGAGGTTCATGTAGTTGTCTATATGATTCCTGTTATTTGTGGTTTTGATTTCTGGACTTAATGCCATCTTTATTTTCTTACTTTTGTCGATGTGGGGAAAATAGGAGGAAGATTTTTTGGATATGTTCACCACTTCAAGTTATTTGTAAAAATAATAAAGGGATACAATTATTTTGTGATGAATCCAAATCTGTTGTCTATGGAATGGGGCACAGACCTTCCTCAATACAACTCTCCCTTTCCATGCATTTCTGAGATTGTCAAAAGCCTACTATCAGATCAATCTTACTCATTGATAAGTGGATGGACTTGTTGGGATGGGAATATACTCTGTCTTAAACCTTGGACATTTTATATTATTTTTGAATCGTGACCTTCCATGCTGCTGTTTACTTTCTATAGGACAGAATATATTGGTTAAATAAACACATATTTTATTTTCACAATGCAACTCTGTGCCTTTAATACCCATGTAACAATCCTACTGACATGCATTGAGGTAACTTGGCCAGCCACTTTGTATATATGTAGCTTCTTTCTCTTTCCTAGGGAACCAGCAACCAGGGAGTAACTGAATATGTCGTCCGGGTTCCCAAGTCAGTACACTTTTTTTCTCTCTCAGCATTTCATTTCCAATTGATATTTTAATATCCAGTCAGATATTATATTAATATTAAACAAGTGCAAGTAATAGAAGAGTTGCTTGCTACTTTTGCCATTTCAGGTATAAATGTATAAATTAATTAAGTAAATCTGCAACCTTGAATGAACAGCACTACTTGTACCTCTGTTTTTGAAATGATGAGGGGCTGGGGTGATGAAATGTTAGGATAGAAAAGGATTCTGCAATGTGGAGCAGTTAAATGAACTGGAAGGCCTGCATCACATAACAGCTTATGATAAAGGGATGGCTCTTGAACTCATATATGCCAGGGAGGGGCATACAGGTGTACTAAGAGGTTTCCTCTGACTGGCATTTTACCTAGCACCTGTGACCTCTATGCTACGGTCACAGAAACACAACTTTGTCAAACCCAATTGTTGTTTCCAAAAGGCTTTCTCTTACAGCTTTTTAGACAGCCTGCAACATTATTTTGTGACACAATTGGTACTCAGAGCCTTTGATGGTC